TCTCAAGCAGAAGGGGGAGGACAAAACTGTTCAAGCATTTACAAGAGTTAGGTGAAGTAAGGAAGGCATCCCATAAAGATGCCCTGGTCGCCCCAGGGAAACGATGCTTAGGATGGGTTAGCTGTTGTGCGAACGATGTTCGCATCTCCAAGTTGAGCCTCTGAGAAAAGATCTGTTCTGTAAATGCTCAGGAGAGACTTGCTAAGGGTTTCACATCAGTGCTGCTTGGCCCATCAGCGTTGGGCATGCTCCTTCCCCTCGCAGCTCCCATACGGCTGTCAGGTCCCACCGGCACCACAGGTCAGCTAAGAAGAATCTATTTTGGGGGCTGCAAGGAGGGAACGGGGGTTTCCTTGCAATTGTCACCGGGGACACTTAATAGTGGGCACAGGCACTCAGGTTAAGGAGATCCCTCACAGGGGAACAGGTCTCTCCTGCGATTTAAGTAACATTAATTTTAAGTGTACAAAAACTTTATTTATCTATTATCTTGTTCAAATGTATAGAATTAATATTAAGCAATGTATATATTTGTTCACATGATTTTAAAGGAATTCAGCTGACTGAACTGGCAGAAATCACTGGCTAAATCACCTGGGGCCAAGGCACCTTTTCGAGCAATCACAGCCTGTTCTACAGGTGCAGAAAGAATATATTCTTTGCGAAATGTATTCAAACAGTTTGTTCACCATGAGAAAACCAACCAGGGGCTGACAAGGAAGCTTATCTTCTTTTTTTTAAACATATGAATAGAAACCATTCAGTGACCATCAGCCGTATTGTACACTGAGAAAGACAGGGACACAGTAGGAAAAATAATATATGATGATGTAATTAAAAGGCATATGATAACGAATAGGCACAAAGAGACATAATTACAGCTGCACAAACAACCTTAATTTTGAGTTGTCCTAATCTCTGAATAATTGATTTTGCATCCTTCTCTGGTTTGTTTTTTGACATTTCCATGATTTTCCCAATGAAAGGAAACTTTGGAAAGAGTTTTCTGAACACTGGCTGGCTGATCAAGTTGGATTCTTAATAAAGACCAATATTCCTCATGAGCTGAATTCGGAAATCAGGAAAGAACAGTACAAGAAAAAATGGTAGTTGAAGGGATGTTGCTGAGGGTAATCTGTTGGTAATGGTCTTTTATTTATTTATTCTTTTCTAGTAGCCTATTGATTCAAATGCCCATACTAATAACCTAGACAACAGGAGAAAACAGAAAGCGTTGGCAGTGGCACGTATACTTATCGAATCTGTGAGGGTACACAGCCTTTGCTGCTAAAGCTATAAGAAAGCAGCAGCTCTGGTAAGTCACAGAAAATCCTAGCAAATTCCTAGAAGGGACAGCTCTTAAGAACATCCCTATTTTGCAAAGGATTTACTACAAAGAAGTGTTCACAGCGGTAGGAAAATTCAGAAGCTCTATCGGAGAAAGAAATAAGCAGCTGCCACCAAAAAAAGGCATCAGAGGGAGGCTCGAAACCAGTTGAGAATTCCAGGGTAATAAAAAGGAAGAGTTGAAAAAGGGAAACTAAAAAAGTAGGTGAATATAACTCGGGCAGGGGGGAGGGAATTCAGTGAACCACAATGCAGTGGCAGTTAGAGAAGACCGAAGTGGAATAACTTGGTACAGTCAAAAAATACTCAGAGAAACATTATTACCCAGTGAAAGAAACTGCTTGGAAATAATCAGTGGAAGTATCTGAGGTAAGAGTAGTAGAGTGATGACATTAACAATTTTTGGAAAGAAAAGCACCATGTTACCCTTTGGCTCAGTTGACTGAAAAAAACAAAGAAGAGTGGCATGATTAATCAAAGTGAATGCCAGGGTGCTGACGATATTTAGAGGAGAATGGGAAAGGTATCTAACTGGAAAACATCAGAACTGGATAAAAACCAGCATTATTTGTTTAAAATCCTAATTAATCCATATCTTAGCTCAAAAGCCATCTATAGGAAACGCTGGGCACGCTTATTAAAATAAACTAAAAAAACCCAAACAAACAAAGGAAAGAGCTGGCATTACCTTAAAACCCTGCAACTGGCTCACCTATGATCTACAAGCTCCTTATTTGAATGATCAATAGGAAAATGAAAACCTTTTGATGATGGGGACTATCTGGCAGATACCAGAATAAAGTAAGAGAGTCTCTATACATGTTTTGGATAGATTTCATAAAAAGCTTATGACAGCAGGTCATGAAACTGGAATCCAGAAGCGTCTGGGAGTGGGAGTATATTAGCTACTGCACAGCAGTAGAATAGGAGATAAGAGCACTGTGAAGGACCTTGGCAGGTGACTTCTTGTCACCCTTCCTCTTTATTATAACTTTGTTTCTCTTATTTGCAATGCTGAAACATACCGAGAAATGCTATTTAGTGAATAAGGAGGAAAGCCTATCTCATATCTACTTAATGTGACAACTTGAAACTACATGGTCAGGAGAAGGTGCAAATTAATATCCCAGTTAAAACTGAAGCCTTTTGTGAAGGAGGTAAGAATTTTACTCAGACTGAATAAGCCTGCCTATATTTCACACGCACATGAACTTGCTGAAGGTATCACAGACGACAGAAACAGATACTGGGCTAAAAGAATGTATAACAGCACTGAACACTGTAAGCGTTCAGCAGTATCTTCAAAGGATTATGACAAAAAAAATGAAGACCGCTTTAAAGAAAGAGTATATTGAGAGATGTGTACAATTCTTAAAGATACTTCAGTATGCAAAATACATTAAAGGCAGTCAACACATATGCCATTCCACTGCAGTAAGAAATTGTACTTGAGGGAATTACATAGTAGGACAATGAAAGTTAGCAGTGAATTAAGTAATAAACATGAACTCAGATGTAGGAAAATCACGATGTTGATCAGTGGATGATAGAGGAAAAGGGCTGAGAATAGTCAAGGATATTATGGAAAAAAGAGCATATGATGACAGTAAACTGTACCAGAGCAAAAATACTGTCTAACTGGGTCTTGGGTGACGCTCCAGGACTAAATGGGGAAGATACTGCTTCTAAGTGTCAGCCTTCAGCTAGACAAGATGCACAGGCAGAGTGGATTGCTTAAAAGTCCTATGGACTTGGGGGCACTTTTTCTCCCGATATATGAAGGACTAGTTTTCCTATCAGCATGTTTATAATATATTCTTCTACAGCTTGATATGCATCAGACATTTTTAAAGAGAAATGACCTCTGGTAGTTATCTGAACACTTTTTGAGGCAAGAACATATTTTTCAGATTTTGTCACAACTTTGCAAACACATACTTATCCAACACATGTATCACCATGTTTCTCAAACTTTTGAAAATTTGACTTCCTTTTGACTCATCCATCTTTGTGCAACCTGCTGAGGATCTAAATCTCCATCTTCTAACCTACTGTGACCCTCTGAGATTTTTTCTGACCCCTGGAGAAACCACCACTCACACTACAAAAAAAACAGATTACAATCTATGTCCTGTGGTGCCTTTGGAGCATCTTATCTATCTGTCCATTTCTCCTTTCCCTAGTTCTCCTCCAGCCTTTGCCTCTTATGGGGAGAAGGTCTGCTTCCACAGCAAGGGTATGTTCACTTCACGTTGCACTATACTAGAGAAAAAGTTGAATTCGCTGGGCTTCCTGGCTCTGCTTGGCTGCAACAACGTAAGAAGCAGGACAAATTTAGCCTGGTGAGAGCCAGCCTGAGAATCCAGCACTGCTGGAGCATTTTCTTTCCCATTGCTCACCCACAACTTAATTCTCCAACTGTTTAATCCCAAAGACCATCAAGCAGTATCTAGTGAACTTGCATCATAATCAACAACGAACAAGACATTTACGCACAGTGCATGTCATAGTGTCTGTATATAGAAAACAGACTGTGTACCTTGTAACACAGTATCATATCCATTAAGCGTAGCATTCACAAATAACGTTGAGAAAACAAGAATAGCTAATACTTCATCCAGGCTTTCCTTCTATGTTGTATTTTAAAGTAATCTAAACTACCATAGCAACACTGATGCTTCACCAGCTGACATTTGTCCCATCGTTTACAGACTGCTCCAAAACTCTTGCATCGGACTCCTGCTCCTCATAACTCTCACGCACAGAGAAATTAGACAGCGGTTGTCCTTATTAAACTGAATCAGGGTTTGTGCCAGTTGACATGCAAGCATTGTTTGAAAGATTAAAATAACATACAATTGCACCAGCACTCTAAATCTCACCATGGCTCAGAGGATGGCTCCTCATCTTTAAATGGCTCATCATATTTAAATATTCTGTCTCAATCTGGTTTAAAATGGAGCAGAGGCTCTGAGCTGCCAATCTGCTGTACTGTTCAGAGAAGAGAAATACCACCACAGACCAGGATACGGGCTCTGGCAAAGAGCTGCGTTTAGTACTTGGCTTTCCTTTGGTGTCCTCTACTCCTCAGCTCACTTGCTCCCAAGGATCATCGCTTCGTCCAGTATGACCAGGTGTCAGCTCCAATTGAAACAATCCTTTTTCTTAAGAGACAGCGCTTCTGCG